TTGTGAGTAAAATTACTCACAGGCTTAATTTTTTGCAGGATAAGTGTGTTTCGATTACAGATACGTGCATGTGTGGGCTAACATTCTATTATCCTGTGTGTGCCTACATGGAAGTTTTCCAGATATAAGTGGAATTTTTGGCACTCATGAATAATTTGCAATTCTATTACCCAAGCAGTGTGAATGAATAAGGAATCACATAGCTACTATCAATGCTCAATAGGCTATGCACTGGCTAGACAGGTAAGTAGTTGGCTACATATGTACATAGGCCAGGCGTGTGTAAGTAACAAAACCCTGCCTGGCAAAAACCCAGGAGTAATGGGTGGGTGCATGGAGATGGAAGGAAGATTCAAGAGGGAGGATGATGAGGACAACCCTCACACATTATTTTCTTGAAGCTGACAAATCTGGATCTAAACTACCTTTCCTCTATCCTAAGAAATATGCAATAATTAATTTCCTGCCACTATTTTTTTTCAGTCAAAATGCACAGTAAAATACTCTCAATTTAAGGAGCCCGAGTGCTTTTTAAAAACCACTGCAAGAATAGAATATTTTACTTAGATAACAAGTATTTCAAAACCAACTTCTTATGTTTCTTTCTAAGGAACTGAAACATATTTTTAGACTAATCCTGTGACATTCATCATTTCTGGGACCAAAATGTAAAAAAATAAAGAAACTGTGCCTGATGCAAAAAAATCTTAAGTTCAGTGATTAAAATGAATATTTGTTTCCTTAACCAGAATATAACACTATCAATCTTAGTAAAACATATATAGACCTTAAAGTGTAATCCTGACACTCACCACCAGCACAGAAGGAGTTTGCATGCTATAAAACAGGCCACCTGGGTCAACGTTAGTACTCATGAGACAATCAGTAGTTAACTGCAGTATAAAATTCATAAGCCTCTGACCCTGATAAAGCCTTCAAGATGAAATATATAGGCAATAATTTTACTGGTAATTACCTACCCCAGCAATACCTCTTTACCCAGAACTTTATAGTGGACAATTTTTTCCAGTAATGCCAGCACTGACCCTCCCTTGTGAATTGTTTTTATAGAGCAGACAGGCTAACAAAATATGCAAAACAAATAAAAAAACGAATCCCTATAAATCTTAGTATTTGGCAACACAAAAAGTTTTTAAGGCTAAGGTATTAAAAATGGCTGCCTACAGTTAGGCCCCCCAAATCTACCTGTACATTCCTACACAACTGTCCTCATTTTAAAAAAGAATATTTTGTCCAAAATGTTTAGGTGATACTTTTCCACTCCAGTAGAACATGATGAGCAAACAAATGACTAAATCCACATAAAAGCATATTTCCCTCCAGTGAACAGTAAACAAGAGTACCTCAACACTTCTGCATACATACCAGTGCCCCGTTCTCACTTGTCCAAGGACTGGGATTAGATTCAAGTCTACTGGCACAGACCATAAGTCTTTCCGGAAAGACATGCAGCTCTAAATAAAATAACAAAAGCCAATACATGTATTTTGGGTATATAATATAGAATTAACAATGGCAACATGTACTACATTTTGTCAATCAGAAGGGTTTATATTTTTAAATGCACAATAATGTATTTCCTAACAGCCTTTTTGAATTCCCTTACTCCCTCCCCTCTTTCACCCCTTATTCCCACAGTAAGAATAATACAGTTATCAATAGGGCAGGGTAAGCTCAGTTTTCCAGAAGACATGCTGGACTGTAAATTAGTCACCTGAACCCCTGGTAAATTATGGTATGGAATCTATAGATAAACCCCCTCAGAATAATTTCCTTTGCATTAGTCTGATGATATTTTTTAATCTTAAATGTTTTGAGTTATCTTTATGACATAAACAGTATATTCTATCAAAGTGATGTAAAAATATGACAAATGGAAAACACCCTTCAATCTACCAGAGATTGTTTTAAAGTCTCTAGTCTAGACAATTAAAGATGGGTGCCATTCCTGAATTACATATTAGACTCAGAATAATTCCTTACAGAGTCCCCAGACCTTAATAAACAACAACAAAATATGTTCATATAAGATTAAAATGGGCTCAGAAATGAAAAAAGTGAACTAATAACCTGATTGGAATAGACAAAACATAACTCAATTAGTGACATATTAATCCTACAAAAAGTGGGAGAGGGGTGCTTGGCTGTTTTAACAATATGAGGGATAAAGTGAGACCCTCAGCTAGGACTCACCTGAGAAACTGATAGACTTTAATACTGCTTATATTTTAAAAACAACGAGCCACAGTGCTCTGCCTTTGTTGAAAAGAGAAGAGACAGATATAAGAAAACTGTGAAGTTGATCTTATAGAGATCCCTGAAGAACATGTAATCCAAAGGAAGTGAGCATGGAGGGCTTTACAGAAATTCCTAATGACAAAGGAGCCTGCCAATGGCTCCCTCTCCAAAGACTACACTGTTTCTCCAGTGTACCCTGGGGTAACCATCTGACAAGTACTCCATGGCTGCTACATAGGAACTTAGTAAGAACTAATACAGTGTCAAAGAGCATTAACCCCCAGTAGGAGTAAGATATCTATAAGCAAAGGAAGTTGACCTTTGGCTGGATCCTATCACACACCACCAAATTTACAGACCTCCAAGCTGGAAGCCTCTAGGGAGAAGGGAGAGTAGAGCTAAGGGACAGTATTTCTGACACTCTGCGCAGGCAGGCAGTTGAGCCTGCAGAGGGATTGCTGGTCATCTCAAATGATAAGCATTCTGACAGGTGTGTTATTTCAGCTTTAACTAAAAAAAAGGGGCCCATCAGGGTGAGGAACAACTGCAATATGCAGGACTCTATTCAGATGATCTCTAGTATGCAATCCTTGTTTCTAAAATACTGGCTTTATGTTGTATAAAAAATGTTGAGACCAAAGTGTTTATAGTTCTGAAAAATATATTTATTACAGTGCAGCTAGACTAAATAGGACAACAAAAACATGCACGCTCCTATCTTGCAATGACCATGTGTGAGAAGCAGCTCACAGCAGGATCAGGGCCTTAGGATTTCTTTTGGCACTGTTGTAATAAGGTTTATTACCTGCTTTCACTGTTATAGTTTGCAAGATTGTTCGCTTGCCGATTATCAAAATAAATGCGTCTTTAGATTGAAATACATCTTGGAAAACTCCAACGCAGCTTGGATGTAAACCAGAGAAAAATGTTGATTTAAAACCCATTATTACAAACTACTTTAATATTTCAAAACAGCCAAGAAGAAGTACACATTTACTGAAATATTTAAAATGAATATTCTAATCTTTTTACTCTATGTGAGGTTAGACTAAACTAGTCATTATTTTTAGCAGAGGAGATAAGTTCATAAACATAATAAATAAATCCCTATAAAATGAAAGAAACATTAAAAAGACGATTATTCAAGTAGTTAATTTTTAATGCCATTTAGTTGACTGACTTTATTTTCCTTTTAATTTAAAAGATCAACTGAAAGGGCAGTGATTGTTATGGTTCCTTTTTTATTGTTGTTGGCAGAACAGGATTGATGTCACTTCCTTACAGAGCATCTTTGGCTTGAGAAAGCATGAAATGTAATTGACCTAATGATATCACCCCTTCAAGTCTTTTCTAGCACCGGGCTAAATGAAAGCTTTTTCTTGCATGCACTTGTAACATATCGCTGATGTCACAAGACGGTCAAATAATAATAATGTAACTCTCGACACAACCTGTGGTTGATTCACCCTGCAGAGGGTTCATGTTGAGTGTCATTATAAACGTACAAAATCTTTTATGGCTGAGCTGATTGACCTGGGAAAGGCAGTAAACAATTTTAGAATCCAGTGAAAAACCACATACCCAAGTGTGGTTCTTCCTGAAAGAAAAAGAAAGTAAAAACAAAAAAGAACAAAAATCTTTGGCAACAACCAGGGCAGTTTGCAGGCAGTTTGCCATCCCCCTCTTTGAAGGGGAGCCTTTAAGGTAAGTTCTTTCTTTAATTAAGAGCAACTAACCTACGTATATTTAATGTAAGCATCTAAAACTCAGCAGTTAGACCAATACTTAAGACCCTTGTTTAACTAGAGTCTATAGTAAAGGGGAGCTCATTACAGAGTTTCCCTTGAAACTCTCTTGCCTTTCTTCACTGTAAGCTTGGTGAAGAAGCAGGTTGGCAGGGAAAACGGGACCTTTTAAGACCAAGGAGCAGTGATTCCTAAGGAAGGTCTGCTTCAAAAGAGGGCAGGAAGAGAGAGGCAGCAGATTAAGAGACCCAGAAAAATGGCTGGAGGACATTGCAATGTCAGTGCCACTGCCACTGCCAGCTCTTCTTTCTTCTGCTTGCACCTGCGAGATGTCTGTCAAGGCAGGACCACTCACCATTGAGGCTTCCACACAGTTCCTGGTTTGGTGCTGTGGAGACTGTGGCTTCCAGTGACAGCCAGGTGAAGGAGTCCTTGCCATGTGATTAGTGCCTTCTGGTGGTGTCCCTCAGGGAGTGGGCAAGAGAGCTTCAGGAGGAGGTGGCAAGGCTCTGAAGCATTCTCCACCATGAGGACTTTATCAATTAAATGCTGGAGGAGACATCTACAGCTGTGGAGGAAGAACTGCCAGAGGCAGTGAAAGAGAAGGAAGAGGACATGGATTCCCAGGGAGGGAGATGGAACCTGGAATCTTGAGACCTCTGCCAGCAAGCAGCAGGCTGTATCTCCAGCAGTTTGCCTGGAGAATAGATATGGAGCCCTACCAACAGACGAGGAAGAACAGAAGCCAGTTCTGCTTGCAGAAGAGGCCAGGTCCAGCATCCCCAAAGTTGGGAGGATCAAGACCTCTGCCATGAAGAGTGACGGGCAGTGGTGGCTGGAGACTCCTTTCTGCAGGGGACGGAAGTGTCTATCTGGTGGTCTGACTTGTTGTCTTGGGAGGTCTGATATTTGCCCAGAGCCCAGATCTGAGATGTCATGGAAGTATTACCGAAACTCATCTGGCCCTCTGACTACTCAACCTTGTGGCCACCCATGACACTGCCAGAGGGGAACCTGTATAGATTAAAAGTGATTACAGGGCTCTAGGTGCAAGGGTGAAGAGGGCAGGGTCTCAGGTGGTCTTCTCAATCCTTCTGGTCAAGGGGAAGGGCCCAGGCAGGAGTGGACACATTCTGTAGATCAATGCATGGCTGCAAGGATGGTATCACTAGTGGGTCTTTGGGTTCTTTGACCACAGGATGTTGTTCCAAAAAGAAGGATTGTTAGGAAGAGACAGGATCCACATGATGAAGAGAGGGGATGGAGACCAAAGCCCTCAGGTAACTGGAGAACAGGGTGACCTGGAGGAGGCACAAGCAGGAAGGGGCAACCAGGGAGGCCTTCTCATATTTCCTGAGAAAGTAGGGAAATTGGCTAGTTACCTCAGGTATCTCTAAACAAATGCACAGAGCTAGGAAATGAGCAGGAAGAATTGAAAGTCCTCATGCAGTCAAGGAACTATGACATGACTGGAATAACAGAGACTTGGTGGGAGAGCTCGCATGACTGAAGTACTCTCATGGATGGATACAAACTGTTCAGGAAGGACAGGCAGGGGAGAAGAGGAGGAGCAGTAGCTCTTTATGTAAAAGAGATATGTGACCGCTCAAAGCTCCAGTATGAAACTGGAGACAGGCCTGCTGAAAGGCTCTGGGTTAGAGTCAGAGGGGAGAGCAATAAGGGTGATGTTGTGGTGGGTATAGACCACCACACCAGGAGGATGAAGTGGGTGAGGCTTTCTTCAAACAGCTAGTGGAAAATCCTGGTTCTCATAGGGGATTTCAGTCACCCTGATGTCTGCTGGGAGAGCAATACAGCAATGCACAGGCAAACCACGAAGTTTTTGGAGAGTGCTGGGGACAGCTTCCTGGTGCAAATGCTGGAGAGGCCAACTAGGGTCCATGCTCATCCTGAATTGCTGCTCACAAACAGGGAAGAATTGGTGGGGAGTGTAGAAGTGGACAGCAACTTAGACAGCAGCAACCATAGGATGATTGAGTTTATGATCCTGAGGAAAGGAAGGAGAGCAACAAAGTAAGAACCCTGGACTTAAAAAGAAAAAAAAAAAACAACAAAAAGACAAATTCGCACTCAGGGAACTGATGAGCAGCAATGACAGATTTACAGTCAGTGAGGTTCTGTGCTCAAGCAAGATGCAGGGCCCTGCCTCCCACCCCACTGCACATCTGCAGGGGAATTAGCACGGCACACCAGCTACAGGGGAGGGGCAGTGGCCGGAATTTCCAGCTGGAATGGCTGAAGAAGCCCACAACCCACTGGGTGGGTGGAAGAGCCATAAACAAAATGCGGGAGGCTCTCCAGCCAGACGCTGGGTTCCCCCCCACCTCAGGCAGCGGTGGTGGGGCTCTGTTGTTGGGGGGGCCCTGTGCCACCACACTGTTCGTTTCATGGTAAATCCGCTACTGATGGACAGGATCACCTGGGAGGCCATTCTGAGGGGGAAGGGAGTCCAGGAGAGCTGGTTGTATTTTAAAGAAATCTTGAAAAGGACAGGGGGGGAGGGTTCAGGAATGAACCATCCTGCTGCATAGGAAGACTAGCAAGTATGACAGAAGACTAGCTTAGCTTAGCAGGGAACACTTCAGTAAGCTACATCACAAAAAGGAAGCTTACAAGAAGTAGAAACTTGAACAAATAACTAGGGAAGAGTATAAGAACATTGCTTAGACATACAGGGATGAAATCAGGAAGGCCAAAGTGCAAATGGAGTTGCAGCTAGCAAGGTATGTGAAGAGTAACAAGAACAGTTTCTGTAAGTATGTCAGCAAGAAGAGGAAGGTCAGGGAAAGTGTGGGTCCCTTACTGAATGGGGAGGCAGCCTAGTGACAGATGATGCAGAAAGGACTGAAGTACTGAAATGTTTTTTTACCTCAATCTTCACTGGCAAAGTCAACTCCTAGACTACTGTATCTGGCAGCACGGTTTGGGGAGGAGATGAGCATCCAACAGTGGTGAAAGAACAGGTTAGAGACTATGTAAAAATGCTGGACTTTTACAAGTCCATGGGGCTGGATGATATGCACTCGACAGTGCTGAGTGAATTGGTTGATGTGACAGCAAAACTGCTGGCCATTCTCTCTGAAAACTCATGGTGATCAAGAGAGGTCCCAGATCATTGGAAAAGGGCAAATATAGTGCCTGTATTTCAGAAAGGGAATAGGAAGATCTGGGAAAGTACAGACCAATTAGCCTCACCTCAGTCCCTGGAGAAATCATGGAGCAGATCCTCAAGGAATCTTTTTCTAAGTAAGTGGAAGAAAAGAAGGTGATTAGGAACAGCATAGATTTACCAGGGGCAAGTCATACCTGACCAACCTGATTGCCTTCTATGATGAGATGACTGGCTCTGTGGATGGGGAGGGAGGGCAGTGGACATGCTATACCCTGACTTCAGCAAGGCTTCTGATAGTCTCCCACAGTATTCTTGCAAGCAGGTTAAGGAAGTATGGGTTGAATGAACAAACTGTGAGGTGGAGAGAAAACTGGCTGGATCATCAGGCTCAGAATGGTAGTAATCAATGACTTAATGTCTAGTTGGCAGTATCAAGTGCAGTGTTCCAGGGTTTGGTTTTGTTCAAGATCTTCATCAATGAACTGAAACATGGGATGGAATGCACCCTCAGCAAGTTTTCAGATGACACCAAGCTGGAGGGTATAGTGGATACACTGGAGGGCAGGGCTAGGACTCAGAGAAACCTAGACAAATTGGAGAATTGGACCAAAAGAAATCTCATGAAGTTCAGTAAGAACAAGAGCAAAGTACTGCAATCAGATTGGAACAATCCCATGCACCAGTACAGGCTGGGGACCGACTGGCTAAGCAGAAGTTCTGAAGAAAAGGACCTCAGGGTTACAGTGGACAATAAGCTGAAGGTAAGCCAACAGTGTGCCCTTGTTGCCAAGAAAGCTAACGGCATACCTGGCTGCATTAGTAGGAGCGGTGCCAGCAGATCAAGGGAAGTGATTTTTCCCGTATTTCAGACTTGTGAGGCCGTATCTGGAGTACTACGTCCAGTTTGGGGGCCTCCATTACAAAAAGGATGTGGACAAACTCGAAAGAGTCCAGCAGAGGGCAGTGAAAATGGTGAGGGGCTGGGGCACATGACTTATGAGGAGAGGCAGGGTTTATTTAGTCTGGAGAAGAGAAGACAAAGTGGGGATTTAATAGCAGCCTTCAACTACTTGAAGTGGGGGGGTCCAACGAGGATGGAGCAGGACTGTTCTCAGTGGTGGCTGATAACAAAACAAGGAACAATGGTCTCAAGTTGCAGTAAGGGAAGTTTAGGTTAGATATTAGGAAAAGCTTTCTTACGAGGAGGGTAGTAAAGCACTGGAACAAGTTACCCAAAGAAGTTGTGTAATCTCCATCCTCAGAGGTTTTTATGACCCAGCTAGACAAAAGCCTTGGCTAGGATGATCTAGTTGGGGATGGTCCAGCTTTGAGCAGAAGGTTGGACTAGATAGCCTCCTGAGGTCCCTTCCAACCCTAATTTTCTATGATTCTGTGAAAAACACCTGAAGTGAATCAAGATAACAGAAACATTGTTTTTATATTCCCTTTTTTTTCTCTTATTTGTGAAAACTGCTACACAAATAAATAAGAACTGACTGCTTACCACGATACTGGTCTTCTGCAACGCAACGCAGATTCACCCATCTTTTCATAAAGTAGGCTGTGATATGAAAACTAGCACCTGAAACAAAGTAATGTGATAAGTATAAGGATATTTGAGCTTTTTATCTCAAAATTTTAGATCTCCTAAGATAATCGTCTGATTATTTGGTGAAAAAGAAGCTTCAGATATATGTGGCTCCAAAAGGACCATATTTAAATAAGAAACTATTTAAAATTAAGACTAAAATGACTGATGTCCAGCAGAAGGACAGGCAGTTTAAACCAGACCAGTTATGTTAACCAATCATAGAAATTATTTTCCATTAAGTCACTGTCCACTTAAGGTGTCTGACTGGCAGCCACAGCCCTGAAGAAAGACCCTACTGATCCTGATACATGTTAATCATCTGAAAACCTATCAACTTTATAAGATAATGCTAAAGTGAATCATTTTGTGGTTAAGGTACTAGAGCACAACTCAGGAAACCCCTACCACTTTCTACTCCATCAAACTCCCCAAAACAGTGGACAGGTCATTTAACCTTAGATCCACAAAAGGTATGCAGATACCTAATCGTTACTGAAATCAATGGAAGTTAGCTACCCAAATACGAGTTAGGTGCCAAACTACCTTTGTAACTCACGATCTAAGCGCCTAAGTTCATTCTTTAGAATGAGGATAATCCTCTCCCCTTCCTTAAGGCGATGTTGCAAGGTTAAACTGACTACCTTGTGTTAGGTGTTCCCAGTGTGTCTGAATAAGTGGCACTGAAAAGCTTAAAATTCAATATTAGTATCACTTTCATATCATACCAAAAGGCTCCAAAAGTTGTAAGAAAAGATGTAGGACCAAAAATCCCCATTCCAGTTTCAGCCAGTAGAGCCAGTTGAGTCATGAAGGCATAAATGTTGGCCCCTTACTTTATGGGTACCCCTGCATTTGCATTCCTTCCTGAGCACTACAGTCCGGAGTTCCTCAATGTTCAAAAGACTTCCTGAAACTCCTCTTGGAGTAGAGTTCCACCACACCGCCATCAGATTCATTTGCCACAATTCATCTCCCAGTAATTTACCAGCTATCTTTCTTCCTCTAAGAAGGCAACTTAATACTTGACTTCCCTTTAAAGATCAAGTCAGGATGTGACAAGTTAACCACCCCTTAAAAATGATGCACGCTTGAAGAAACTTTGGATGTGGTCCATCACCTTTATTAATTGCCTATTTACAGAACATGATTAAAGAAAATTATTGTTAGCTACTGTTAGTTTGGCACCCACCATCTTTTTGACACACTGCTAGTAAGGTTAGCCAAATCAAAGATTATAGGACATTGAGCTTTATATAAACAGTTGTTACTGTGACAGTACTATCAATGCCTTCTACTGTGATCGCAATAATACTAGAACAGAGTAATGTTTGTAAAAATGTGACTCTTCACACATGTTTCTGAATGGAGAAAATGGATAGCTAAATAAGAAGGCCTCTCCTTCAGACTGCATCTAAAACATTAAACATGCACACCACATCTGCTGGGCAGTTTTCTTTTGATTAAAATGTCAAACAAAAAGGTGAAAATCTTTTGCTTTTTCCACTGAAAAACACAGTATTTCATTTCTGAATGGAATCAGAGCAGCATGCACATTTGTTTATTTTCCTGGGTGTTCTGGTGTTCTGCAAGATGTAAGTGTTTAATCATATGTGACTAACTGCCTGAGCAAATCAAAACCTTTGATTTATATGGTGTAGGCTCTTTGGAGTAAGAAACAAAATAAACCTCACTCACAATCAAAAACAGATCTACAATACTATTATCTCAGTTGTCCTTTAGCCTTTTGCTAGTGCATGATTTCAAGTTGTCTTATGCTGCTGACAGAAGATTTGGAAATCAGACATTGTTTAATAGAGGTCTATAGTTTTAACCCCTTCACTGACTTTTCCATGATGAAACCTTGCTTCCTGCTCAAAAGTGATTGATACAGGGCTCCATGGGAAGCTCAATCAAATACCATTCTACTTACTGATCTATCACCTGGGGTTGCCTTGAAGTCTGTACTCTACCATTCTGTCCTGTAGCTCTCAAAGTCTTACTATATCACTTACATCACGGTTGTCCAACTCATCTTGCGTCCTAGGAAGGTCTAGACCATGGGGCTCCTTGCAGGTTGGATTTGTACTGCAGGGCTCCTTATGAGATTGATCTGGCCTAGTGCCGGGGCAGCAGCAGTGGGACAAGCAGCCACGAGCAGGCACATTCTTGCTATGGCAGAAGGATGCAAGTGGTACTGGGCCAGGTGGTTGTAGAGCAACTGATGACTGTGTCACACAGCCCTTGCTTGCCCCTCTGCCACCAGCTGTCTGGCCCTACAGGGCCCTGGACTCTGCAGCAGGCCATGCCTCTAAATTTTTAACCCAGTGGAAGGCCAATTAGAATCCTTTCTTTTAAACCAAATCTAAACTATATAAATTACTGAATCGGCAGCTCTAGGCACTGACCTCCTATTTCCATGCTCATAAGCTTTGTGGATATAAGAGAAAAGACACCATCAGCTGTGCCTGACCAAGCTGTCCCCACACTGCTTCACCCGAATGCATCAAGCCTGAATTGAGAGAGACTGACTTACAGCAAGACAGAAGTCCAGTCTTCATAACCATCTACTTGGCACTTCTACCAAAAATGCCAATGATTGCTAACTGTGGTCAAGGTTTGATGATGCGGGTACCTAGAGAGTGTAATATATTTTAACACAACATTAGACTGAAGACTTCTGACCTGCTCCATTCAATAAAGCAACAAAACCAAAACACTGCTCTGCCAAAGGCAGCTGATAACAGTTTTGCTACAATGCTACCAATACTGCACTGTTCTTTTTCTGTTTTTTCCAAGTGAAAAATCCTGACAAATCTCCCCATTTCCTACATAACAAGATATAAAATGAAGACATGTGACATTTCCCTTTGAAGAATCTGTGCATTTTACAGACTTCACCATGTAAATTACCAACAGAAAATCAGAAAGGCCTTTTCAAATTTACCATAAATAAAGCAAAATCTAAACTGCTGTTAATGTCATTATTTTTCATTATTTTGAAATTATACGTGTAAATCGTCATAACTACATTCCAAAAAAAAATCACGGAAACAATGGAAACCAGAATGTGACTGAATAAATGCAGTCCTACAGAAATGCTGCAGTTTCATTTAAGCTGTAATGTGCTCCAGTGAGTAATGTATTTTAAGGGAGTGGTAATTTGCCCTGCTTGTCATATTTCACAGTCCCAGGACACTGAGAGGAAATATCAGACATTGGGTTTTTACTGTAAAACTATCCAGCAACACTTGTTTTCCAAAGGAGTTACAGCCAAGTTGACTTGAGCTTCCCCAAGGCTGCCAAGAAGAGTCTGTGGTACAGTGTATAACAGTGGAAAGCCCTCTCCCACGGCTATTAGAGACCATTCATCTGGGAGCCTGGGAAAATGCCTTTGAGCTGCTGAGTTATCTGGAGTAGCCTGGCAGGTGTTCACTTCTCAGCAAAATCTGGCACCTGCATGGCTCTGTTACTGAATTCAGTAACCCTTCTCCAAAACCACAAGACAGGCCTAAGAAGGCCTATTGCCCCCAAAACATTTTCATACCTGACACTCCTACATTTTTAACTATACAGCTTTTTCTTGCTGTCTTCTAAAACATTAATTTTTCTCACAGGCTGACAGATTTTTTTGGACTAAACTCCCCTTACAATTGAAAAGTACAAAATTTTTATCTTGTATGCATTAAATGATTTAAAATATAAACATGAATTTGTAATATTGAATGATGAAATAGATGTACAAGGTTTGTCAATTCAGTACATTAGCCTGTTTCAAAGATTAAATGAGTAAAATAAGAAGTCTGAATACTGCATATAATGCATATGAATCCACACAGATAAAGCTGTAGTATTAAAATGATTCCAGTATTTAAGGTTTTAATTTTTCAGTATACTATAGATATGTTATTACATGGCTTTTAGTGAGGTTTAATTTATTAGTAGTTATTTCCTTCGTATTATTCACTTTCATGCTACTGACAGACTGAAGAAGCATTTTTATTCTAAATCTAAACCTGTTTTAGGGTTCTTGTAACTTTCCAAAAAAGGGTTTCGCAAGTTTATTCTCAGCCAACAGTTGAAATATTTTCTAAGACCTCAGTAAAATTTCTGTTGTTGGTTCTGAAATAGACATGAATGAAAAAAAACACTGATTATAATCTGGTAAGAAGTAATTCATATTCTGTTTTGTTATCAGAAAAACAAAAATGGCTTGTTTTTAATACTTCAAACACAAGGAGGATACATGCTTTGGCTAAGTCTGAGCATAATAATTGGAAACTGTATGTGAATACAGCATATTGTGCACAAGTAACCCTGCAAATTCCTCTCTTCTGGTCATTTAAATCATTCAGTTGCTTACTTGGATCAAATTACAGGCATTTGCAGCCATGCTCTCTAGAGCAGTGGTCTCCAAAGTGGGGTGCCTGCACCCCAGGGGGTGCGCAAGACGATCCATTGGGGTGCAGGAAGAAAATATTAGAACTTCTTTTTCGATAAATATTGGGGGTGCACGCGCAAAAATGTTTTACTGATAGGGGTACGCGATCAAAAAAGTTTGGAGACCACTGCTCTAGAGAACACAAAATTCAAATCTAGTATGGTAGGCCAGGAGGTGGTTCTCTGTGAAGGCAATCACCAAGTCTTGATGAGAACTTTCTGGTACTCTGTAGGGTATATAAATTCTCTGACACAGACAGAAGTTACACAAAAGTTAGTGTTGGCTGTGCAGCCTAATGACTATATGGACAAATAAAATCACTGGGTTAGACCCTCACCTGATACAAATTGTTACAGGGACGGTAACAGCTTGTGACAACTCAAACCAGATGAGCTCTGCCCTGCTGGTAGCTTTTTCCTTCACAAAACACACTTTTCAGTTGTCTCACCTTCCTGCGTATTCTTTCAAACTTTTTTTTTTATAGATGTTTACATACAAGTACACAAATATATGTGAATTTAAAATTACCCAAGTAGAGTATGCAGGTTTTAAA